TCTCCTGTGTGTACCATTTCTTTCCTTTAAATCTGTCTTTTGTCAGTCTAATTTGAGGCCCTAGCCAATGAACCTAAGACAGGTAGAGAAAGTTTCTTCTTCTCTCCTCTATCACATATATAAGTGATTTGTATTTCCAACAGTATAATGTATAGAATACAATGAATTATCCTCTTATCAGAAACAATTGAATATTTAGTATAAATACTTGCTTAAATCCATTCTTTGGCTGGCCAAATATTATGAATGTGCAGGGTCAAACGAAGAAATTGAAAGTAGTAAGCAAGAGATGAAGCAGCTTCTCTTTAACTCCTAAATCTTGGGGACCTTGGGCTTTCACTTTTATGACACATGGGAGAGGAGATAAAGTCTATGATACACACAAGGTGGAGAATATAACAGAGGAATATCCCACATAAGGCTAGGACTGGTCTCAACTTTGGGCTGAGTGAGGCTTAGAGAACAGGGAGATAATTTCCCTACAAGCTCTCACCTTAATTTTTAGTTGAATTCATGATACCTAGGTGTTCTGGAAAATTTCAAGCAACTTTTCTAAATTGCTGAGTTTGGCCTCAAATTTGTAGTCCTCTTGTCTCAGCCTCCTGAGTCACTGGGATTGCAGGAAAAAAAAAAAAGATTTTTAAAGCAACCATAATAAATATACATAATTACCAATGAAGAAATTACAATTAGAATGGTGGCTGACTTCTCAATAATAGTACTAGAAGTTAAAAAAAATTCAATAAATAATGTCTTTGGTATCCTGAGAGAAAGTAATTGTCACTCTAAAATTTGTATCTAGTAAAACTGCTTTTCAAAGATGCAGGGATAAGGGCGAAGCAGTGTGGCTCAGTGGCAGAACCCAGCTTACACAAGGCCCTGGATTCTATCTCTAGCACCTAGAGGGAGTGAGGGAAAATTTAAAAGATTTTATGGGGTTGGGGGAAGAGTTTAAAACCAATAGATCTTCAATAGGGAAACTTCAAAGAATATTCTTCAGATGAAAGGAAAATAATCCTAGATAGAATATCTGATATGCAAGAAGGAAAGGTAAAACATTGATAATTAAGAGTTATTGTAGGGGCTAGGACTGTAGCTCAGTGGCACGGGACTCGATCCTCAGCACCACATAAAAATAAACAAATAAAATAAAGGTATGCTGTCCATCTACAACTATAAAATTTTTTTAAAAAATTAAATAAAAAATAAAATATTACCACATACTATATAAGATAATAATGTCCCTTAGATTAAAAAAAATAAAAATAAAAGCACAGCACTAAACCTAGAAGAAAGGATTTTGAGTTTTCACCATAAAGAAACCATAAAAATAGGCTGAGGCTGGAAGATCACAAATTTGCAACTAGACTGGGCAACTTAGTAAACGCTGTCTCAAAATTTTAGGGCTGGGGATGTAGCTCAGTGGTGGAAGCACTTTTAGGTTCAGTCCTTAATACTGCTAAAAAGTAAAAAATTGAAAAAAAAACAGAGAGCTCATGAACAAAATATCAGTGAACTGGTACAATGCAAAACAAACATAAATTTATTCCATAAATGCAAGAGTGATTAATATTTTAAAATTATTTAATAGAATTACCACAATAAAGCCAGCTGTTGGTACACACCCATAATCCCAGTAATTTGGGTGCTAAAGGAGAAAGATTCCAAGTTCAAGGACAGCCGGGGCAATTTAGAAAAGATTCTGTCTCAAAATAAAACAAAAAGAGCTGGGGAGGGCTGGGGATGTGGCTCAAGCGCTTGCCTGGCATGCGTGCGGCCCGGGTTCGATCCTCAGCACCACATACCAACAAAGATGTTGTGTCTGCCGAAAACTAAAAAATAAATATTAAAAAATAAATAAATAAAACAAGATGTTCATAAAAGTTTAAAATAAAATAAAAGAGCTGAGGATATAGCTCAGTGATAAGAGTATCCTGGGGTTCAATCCCTAGTACTGTTCCAGACCCCAAAAGGGATCTCATTTAAAAGAAAGCAGCTTTCTTTGTGCTCACATGGGAAAAAAGAAAGGTTCAAATTATACTACCTTTTGTGTAAGCAAGGGGGGTACAGGAATAAATAAATGTACTGTTCACATTTATATAAAGAAAGAACAAGAAATGAAAACTAGGCCTTGAAAATATGTTTTTGGATATTTACAATTAAGTTCATTATCAATTTTACTGCCCAGTGAGAGACCTAGGGTCACCATTAATGGCATTCCTTATTTAACTTTTGTTCTTTCCTAACTTAAGGATGAACTGGGCCAAGGGAATGACAATGTTTATTTAGTCTTATATGGCATAATATGGTCTGAAAATTATGTTTTTGCAGCTGATGGATTTCCAAAGCCTCATTAGATCAGATAAGAGATGAATGGGAATGTTTGGACTAAGTGAGGAAATGCCATACAATAACAGTTCTATGTTTATGTCTGCTATCTCCTAATCAATACTTGCAAGTTAAAAAAATGACTTATGCTCTTTTCATTAATGATTTCAAGTATTAGTTTCTGTGTCATGTGTTTCAGGCTTCAGCTGTCTTTGTTCATCCAGTGGTGACTATAAATGCTTATAAGTTACTGCCTTTGTATGTAGTCTTTGTCCGGCATCTCCAGTACATTAAGTTAGACACCCTGAAACTATTTTTAATGCCAATACCCAAAGAGAACCCTCTGAAACCAAAAATCATAAATTAATTCCCTGGTTTTCCAGTCCTGAAATATAGCTCCAAATCTGTTACTTCTACCCCAAATAGTGACAGGTTCCAACTGACAAACAGAAAAAGTTACTAATTAGTTGTATCTTTCAGCTGCTGGGAAGAATGACTAAGAACCAACACAAACAGCTATATGTATCATATTCTAAATAGTTAATTAAAAGAGTAAGAATCAATGTCAGAAATATAAGTACAATACTCTTATCTCAAGTTTCCACCTCAGTTTCCACCCTTTTTAGTCCTCCTCAGTTACCTTCCCCACCCCTTCCCTTCCTCTAGGGAGGGAGGAAGCAGACAGCAGCTGGTTTATTCATAGCTGCTTTATTTCGTTGACAAGGCAACAGAAATGCAAGAAGAGTCAGGTACAAAAGAGAGCTATTTCTTTATGATTGGTTCCAGTTCTTTTCATCCAGGTAAAAAGACCCTTAAACTAACAAAAAAAGAATTGGGAGAAAGTAGAGGTAAAGCAGAATTTTCTAGTGAAAAGCTAAGGGAAAAGTCTGGGAGACTGCTCACTGTACGGTACGTACGTTCTGGTTTCTGAATCCTGTTGCTAGTGGCCATGGTCCCAGATCAAGGGAACTGAATAATGGTTACAATTATATTATTTAAAGATTTTTTTCATCAGCTCACAGCTTCAGATCTCAGAATAACATGACCGTTTCAACCTTCTAGTTTTTAGAAACTAGTGCCAAGAGGAAATTTCAGGCATTGAGTGAATACACCCAAACTCAAAAATGTCTTAGAAACACACCCAGAAACAGAGGGAAAGAAAGAATAATTATTCTTTAGTCCACCCCATCCCTCTGCTATGAAATGAATATCTTTTAAAAACTTTAATTATAAAAGCCATGTTCACTGTGGAAAAACAATAACAAAAGAAGAAACAAAAAATCTTCTTTGCTGACATTTAAAAATATACCCTTCTGATAATTTTTGTTTCAGTTACTCACCCTAGGGGTGCTCCATCACTGAGCTACACCTCCAGCCCTTTTTTAAAGTTTTTACTTTGATACAGGGTATTGCTAAATTGTTGAGGCTAGAATCAAACTTCCAATCCTTATGCCTCAGCTTCCTGAGTTGTTGGGATACAGGCATGTGCCACTATATCTGGTCCTTTCGATCAATTTTTATTTGCAAAAAATTGAATCATGTTATAACCTTTTTCATGTAAACATTATGACATATTTTCATATCTGTAAAGTAATTAAATACATTAACTGTATGAATTTAAGTCGGACAGATGAAACAGTCCTAGCTATCCCATTTACTGTGATCTTAGACAAGTTATTTAAAATCTGTCAGTGTCAAAATTTCTTTTTACAGAAATGAGAAGTACTTAACTCACTGGATTATTCTAAGGATTAACTAAGGTAACAGAAACCAGGCATTGTGGCACACATCTGTAATCCCAGCAGCTCGGGAGGCTGAGGCAGGAGGATGATTCAAAGCTAGCCTCAGAATCTTGGTGAGGTCCTAAACAACTCAGGAAGACCCTGTCTCTAAATAAAATTTAAAAGGGTTGAGGATGTGGCTCAGTGGTTAAGTGGCCCTGGGTTCAATCCCAGAATAATGATGATGATGATGATGATGATGATGATGATGTAGGAGGTAATAATGTACTGAGAACAAATCTGGTGCCTGGTATTTGACAACATAACATAAATTACATAAACTTTGTACTTCTATGACACATTAAGTGGTCAGTATTCCTCGGAATAAATATATTCTAGTTTGTGGAAAATTCCCTATTTTCCGAGATTAAGCTATTTCTAAAGTCATAATGTTATAAGTAGCAGTGAATTAGACACTAAATCTAAGTCTTTATGTCTGTGATTTTTTTTATGCCATCACTGATGGCTTCCTTTCAGGTCACATCACTTATGGTTTAAAATTATAGAAAGTATTCATTTTATTTATTCATGATGAAAGTATAGAAGTTATTCATTAATGTTTATTTAAGCTCTAAAAATACATAAGTAGAAAGAATAAAAAGCGAAATAATTCTTCATACTCTTTCCCAGCAGTGACTGCTACTAACAATTAGTAGTTGATCCTTTCAGATCTTTAACTATGAATTTACAGACACAGTCAGATGTAATTTTTAAATTAACCAATTTTTAAATTGACATAATAATTGTACAGTTATGAGGTCATAACATCATTTTTAAAAATAAACATATGGATTCTAATATTAAAACAAAAATAAATAGAAATATGGTCATACATCAACAAATAACAAAAGTGGTTTTCTAACCCCTCCCCTTTTTATTTTAATTTACCAGAATATACTGGAAACCTGTCCTTATCCACATACATAGATCTCCATCATTCTAAGACTGGACAATATTTCATTGTGAGTATATTACTGTTCACTTAATCATTCCTCTGTACTCTATGATTTCCAATATCTCACTCTTATAAACAGTACTTCAGCAGAAAATTCTTATACCAGCCACTTTATGGATTGTGTGACTATTTTTCTAGGATAAATATATAAAAATGAAATTGGTAAGTCAAAGAGTATGAGTATTTTTCATTTTAATAGCTACTGTCAAGTGTCTTGAAAAATAGATTAAAAATTTATTATATCAACTATATGTAAATGTGCTCATTTCAAATTTCCTTGCCAACACTGAATATTATTAATCTTTTTAATTTTTATAATATCATGGGCAGAAATGGTCTCCTAGTATAATCTGGGTTTCTCTAATTACTAGCAAAGCAAGGCATGGTCATAATTTAAACAGCCATTTGTAACTTTTTGTTTGTGTAACTCTAGTTTATACCTTCTTTACATATTTCTGTGGATTGTAAATTTCTCATTGGTTTAGATAAATAATATTTATTGGACATTAATTTTTATCATACATATTAGAAACATTATTTATGTATTATCATTTCTTTATGATAGAAACATTCAAATTCTTCCTCCTAGCTTTTAGAAATATATAGTATGCATTAACTGCAGTCACCCTAGTGTGCAATAGCATACTAAGCCCTCTAACTCTGTCCCCGTACTAGGATTTGAACCTAAGCATACTCTACTA